TTCAGGTGATTCTGATCCAACAGCTCGCAAAATGGCGTTGATGTCTGTTCCAGCTGATAGATTGTTGCCTCCGGAAGTGACAATGGTGCGCTTACTTCTATTTCCTTTGTGCTATGAAGTAGGACTTTGTGCTTTTCTGACAATATTTGTGATCAATACAACTAAAACAAGTGTCGGTTTCACAGAAAATGCTGAATGAATGCACAGGAAGACTTCCATTCTGCTCTACGCCACACGCGCCCTTCTGTTAGTCCGGAGGTGAGCATCCTCCCTGGTCTCTCCGCATCCTTCCTGAGTCAATATCAGAAGGTCCACAATATCTCTTTACAGGCTCTTTGGATCCGTTGCTTCGCGTGCAGGACCTGCGAATGCACATTAGCTGGACCGAGCAATTTGGATTGGAGGGTAGCTAAAAGTTATCCCTTGATTTCGATCCGTTCACTGAGATGTACCCGTTACGTCTCTGTAAATGCAGCGACGCAACCATTTCTTTTTTTCAAGGCTGCGTACTTGAGCTCTTGTGTGGAGAGCACAGTTCCTATACACACCTCTGAATTTCCTTACAGCTTGAACTTCAGTATCCGTACATCTGGTAGCACTGTGCTATGCACATGCACCCTGTCTAGACAGCAGCTCAAAGCTCAGTGGGCTAGGATGTCCTCTAGGCCAATTCGCCCTGTAACTTGTATGGAAAATCTATAGGCTAATGAGGCAATTAAGACTCCCAAATTCTTTAGTTCTCTCGATTAGGAAGGCAGACGGACCCTGTATTATAGGTTATAGGAACTGCTACAGTTTTTATATTTACTGGGCTCAACATGAACTGTGTTCCTTGGTTTTTTAAACGTCGTCTACCCCCGCAGTAAGGGCTTGAATAGTGCATATAGCATCCCCCTGTGGGATGTTACTGCAGAGGAATACCTATTGCGCAGGAATGTGTAAATGCAAGCTCTGCAGGAACGTTCGGCTGAACATAGGAGGGAACACTACCTAATACAATCAGTTGGGTCGTCATTTTGGGAGCCTTCATGTTGCTCACGGGAAAATAAAGTGAGGGGTCACTTCTTCAGTGAACCCGGCCTCCATAAGCAGCGGTGCTCTAGCAGCCCCAGTTAGGCCGCTGGGGCCCCCAAGTCTTCGGAGGGCCTCTTGGGCATCTCTACTTTAGGTGATTTACCTTAGATGAATTCAGAGCATGTTGGTCCGCATACATCGGAGCATTAAAGTTTCTAAATACCGCCTTCAAAACTTTAAGAAAATAACATTTTCAAAAGTTGAACGAACAGAACTGGGAAATTCATTTGTGCTGGCACTGTGGGGCAACGTCTTGGGGGCCCCAGGGGCCCTCCATCTGTTCATGATGGACACGGCCATTGATCGATTCGCATTCTGAAATTTTTCATCCCCAGAATAGGTGAAATGTTTACATATGAAGAGCATATAATATGACGGCAGTAGATAAAACTGAGCATTGCCTCCCACCAGAACTCTACACAGTCCCGGGCTATTCTTCTCCAACTTACACTAGTGTTATGTAGTTATATGCAGTCGGTGGCGCGGCATATTGTCTATCACTTTTTTGTACGCCAGCTGATGTATTTTGAAAGTCTTGAGCTGAAGCATTGTTTCACGTATGGATAGTCCTTTCTTGCGTTGCCGCTCCGTTGACCAAGGAACACGCCCACAATGGGGACCCTGAAGGCAGTGGGGCTTCTGAGTGGAGGAAAAGACAGCATATTCGCAATGCACTATGCGCGTGAGCTTGGTCACAGCATCTGCGCAGTGGCAACATTGCTCCCGCGGGGAGACGCCATAGAAACTGACAGCTACATGTACCAGTCTGTTGGCACCCACATGACTGCGGCGATCGCCAAGTGTTTGGGTGTTCCGCACTTCAGTGCACAAGTCAATGGCCAGCCAATCCTGACGGAAACCCTTAACTATAAACATACTGCTGGGGATGAAGTGGAGGACCTTTGTGCTTTGCTTTTGCGCGTGAAAGTAAGCGCAGATTGGCTACGTCAACAGAGACAATACAGTCCTTCCCCATTTTTGCTTTCTTTCTTTTCCCCTTACTGGGTACTTGTATTTCGGGTTCTGGGTGAGCACACATCTGTGGATGCCTCCAGGAAGCCATACCCGATCTACAAGCGGTGACCTGCGGCGCCATTTTGTCAGAGTTCCAGCGTCGAAGGCTGGAGCACTTGTGAGTTCTTGCACCACATTAGTGAGAAGCAATTCTTTGTGCTTCTACGAATATAGACTCGGACCACAGTGGAGGCGGTGAAGGCGGAGGGCGGGGCAGGTGGCCCAGGGAAAATGAGGCAGTCGAGTTCTTCTCTGGTAAGATAAGACTCCCGGGCTGAATTTTATATGCGTGAGGTGGGATCTGCGCTGCAGGTGCCAGCGTCTTGGGTTAGTACCCATATGCTTGATGTGGAACTGTCGGCAGGAGACCCTGCTGCGTGAAATGATCAACTGGGGACTCCATGCAGTGCTTGTCAAAACTGCGTCTATGGGACTATCGCGGAAGCACTTGGGACATACCATTAGTGACCTTCTGCCGTACTTTGTCTCTCTAAACCGCCAGTATGATTTCCACATATGTGGCGAAGGTACGAATATGCTGTACCTCTGAATGCAGTTTACAAGCCTCTGTAAATGTTACGCCTGCTTGAGTTGTGAGTTTTCTGCGTGCTGTCTGCTCTGCGTCAATGGAATTGCAGGAGGGGAGTATGAAACCTTGACGCTCGATTGCCCTCTGTTTGAGAAGGGCTCAATCGAGGTTTTAAATTGGCAGCCAATTTGCCACAGCGACGACCCTGTGGCGCCGGTTTGGCTTTTATCCCCCACAGAGTGGCGCGTGGTGCCGAAAAGCTGTGCACGAATTGCATATCCACTGGCAGCAACTACAGCCTCATCTCCCATGAGGCTGCACGCACTTGAACGTGGGCGTTTTGAACCTTATCAGGATAATATTCGCCATGCTGTAAGCATTTGGGGTTCAGAGGAAGACACTGACAGTGCTCGAACTGCATCATTGAGTGAGCCCCTTGATGTCCTCCTTGGGTGGCGCAAAAACAGCAAGTGGAACTTACAAGTCCAAAGTTCTTCTTCAGGGTGCATCGTTAGTGCAGATGTATGCGAGGAAAGCGCGGACGCAGATGTCTCTCTTGATAGTTTTACGATAACTGAACCCAGAGATTTTGTTGCTGAATTGCTGAAGTCGCTTTCCTCCAGCGTGCAAGGATGGCTTGACGACCAACTGAGGACAATGCAGAGAAACTCCAGAAGTGCTCACCCTGTGCAAACAATCTGTCAAGTGTGCAGCTTAGAACTCAGTCACATTGTCGAGAATGTGTTCATTTCAAGACGTACAATGCCTCACCCTATGACCTTCTTCGTCACGCCCTTGCCTCGCCGTGTTGCACTGCGACTCGCGATTGTTTGGAGTCTTTCCGAAGGCTCAGGTCCCACCCTTGATGCCTTTTTCAACTATCCTGGCGATAACGGGATGCTTCATGTGCACAGTCAGAACCTGTGGGTACCGCCATGCGGTGAAAGCGAGGCCAACGGCTCGCAGGACCATTCATTGGAACGCAGCTGTTGCACATGTCAGGGCCTGCGCTGTGAGCTGGCTTCGAATTGGAACCCTGGTGCATCTCACGTGTTCATCCGCGGCATTGATGGCAGTTTCCCGTTTTCTGGAAGGTTGCCTGACATGATTAGCAACCCCTCGCTTCGTGCCCTTGCTGGAGAGCTTGGTGAGTTGAGGAAGTCCGACCAAGGGTTAAACGTGGCTTTGCAAGCTGCCAGCTCATTTGTAAACGTGCAGCACGCGCTGCATCTTTGCAAAGTTGGCGGCGCAAACCGTGGCTTGCCCCATATGTTCGGGGCTCCTGCAATTTCAGGAGCCTTGCAGGAAACGCAGCGGTTGCCTGTAGACGTTCCTTCTTGCATTTTGGCACTTGTCAAGCTGGAGAAACCAGTTACGGAGTCGGCGTCAACGGCTGAAATGCCAGAACGCTCTGACAGAAAGCTAGAAGCTGTGAAACATCTTCTTCACGGCCTTCTGGACGGCTCGAGAACGCGCAGCGCACATCTCCGTGTCAATACGCAATCGGCTACCCAGACCATTGTTCTCGTAGCCGAGATTTCGGATCTTCCGCGAGGCGCAAAGGTTATGGCGCTTCCGCTGTGGGAGGTGGCATTCCAGAGCGGTGAGACTGCCTTCTCCCGTTCGTGCTCAATTCAAGAATTGCACCACCGGGGTGATACATACAGCGCTACAGTCACAACACTGAAAATCTGCCCAGGGAGCTCCCAGGATAGAGAGGTTACTTCAAAAACTGTTGACTCTGGCGTTTCTTCTTGCTTGATGTGCATTTCGTTTCAACAAAGCAACTGCACTGGCTCCAGTACTCTGGAGAGCTTTTGGGGGCAGCTCGACAAGACGCTGACTCTGAGCTTGGAGAAAGAAATGGGCACCGCCCAGCTTCCTGGCTTGACATACTTCAATAATAGCAAGACGCCAGCCACGCGGCATGGGAACAAACGGATTCGTGACATATATGTGTTTTACTCCCGTCCTTTTGCATGCTCGTTTGATGTCGATCTGAAATCCTTCGAAGAAAATTGCCACCTCCGCATCGTGGCAGCTTTGAGTGGGACGGCACCCGCCACTTCAGAGGTACCCCTCGTTATATTTATTCCCGTCGTTAATATCGAAGGGGGGTTCTTGAAGATTGTTGCGTGCTCCATATAGTGAGGTCTAACAACAACTAGGCATAATTAGGCATGTTCAGTAATTTGTGGAATTGCTATTGGGCTGCACGGGCAGGCAGGCCTCGGAAAGCCAGGTGGCACTGCTCAGCACAAAGTAGGGTGGTTTTCGACTGTTTAAAAGAGCAATAAAGTTTTCTTGTTTGTGCCATTGGCTGGGGACCAGTAGTTAGCTGGCACCGATGTGCTTGCAACCTATATACCTCCTGAAAGTATTCTCACATCTGCTGCCAAGGCTGTGGTGAACCGAGGGGCATTGCTGGCCATAGTCTCAACATGTCATCTGCAATTTTGAATAACAGATCACGTAGAACTTCTTCAAATTCTCCGTCCACGTCGTGGTCAGCAATATTGTTAAGTAGCCGTCTCATATCGAGTGTCCCGTCATCTGAAGAGCAGAACACATGGGAACACTGCCGATCACGTTTCTGAGTGGAGTCCCTTGACTACTCCTAATCAGCCTCTGGGAGTAGTTGCGGCTGACTCACCGCTTGCAAGGTGGCGTGCTACCTTCTGCAGAAGCAGTTGAATTCCGGTGTCAAATAGCTCACGAACCATTGGGACGTACACCTGCAGAACGCGGTATGGTAGACAACGTCACTAAAGCTTCTAGCTTCCAACTCGTTGTGCAGGCAGGCAACAAGAGCTTGAGTGAGTGGATAGTGGCAGTGGGTCTGGGCGCATGCAGCTTTTACCTTTAACAATACATCAAACAAACGGTGCAAAAACTTGATTAAGTCTTTAGGGTTTGCCAGCACTATATCCAAATCTGGTCTTTCCTCCCCCTTTCCGCGGAACTCCCGCGGAAGAAGAAAATCGCCTTTGCAAACCGCACAGATATTCGCAGGCCTTACATCACTGCATTACGTCGATAAGAACTGCTACAAAAAATGGGATTAATAGGTGTCATCTCGAGCAGAAGAGCACATAGACCCAACCAATGCAACTGACCGTTTTCAGCTGGTAGGATCCCGTTCAGGATCTTAATCAGGAGGAGGTACACGTAAGCGCCAAGACCCTTAACAGGTGCTGTCAGTACCTTGTAAAGACCAGATGAGGCGCTGGGAACATATAAGCAAACAACCACAGTAAGCAGGGGTTGCCCACGGTTCACTGGACCAAGTCGCCGCTACTTCACGCAGTTGACCTGCTAGCCTCCAAAACTTTACTGCGCTTTCATTGAGACAAAAATGTACTTCTCACCTGGTAGCAATCTTTATTTGATACCAGAATTTGTATAAGTTGCTGGGGTCAAGCAGGCCGGAGCGAACGTTATACAGCATGGGCCTTATAAAAACCAGAAGAGGCACCTCTTTCCACCAATCACGAGTCAGCCCCTTACCTGTGTCGAGTTCACCAAGCAGTCGCGTAAATATATCTGTATGAACCTTCATACCGTCAACAACGGGCTGAATTGCTGAGTTCCACAATCCACTTGACACCTGAGATACACGAACGTATGGTTAATAAAAGGTTCCATGAATGCGCACTTGACAACCGGCCGCTGCGGCATCATTTCACCACCAATGCACAAAAGTCTGGTGTAAACGCCATTGAGTGCCTATATCGTCTTGCGCGTCTAAATGCAGAATGCGCATCTGCAATCTAGGCATATGCGTTGACGTAAAACGGGAGGGCTCCAAGAGGGCGCTAGTACCGCATCTCACAGAAAGGGCAGATGCTTCTGCATTCGGGCCTTCGAATGCACTAAATGCAGCTTTGAGAATAGCATTTAGCGCTCGAGCTCTTATGGGAGTCCAGAAGATTAGCAAGAGGTTTGTCAGATGGTCTGGAATAGGTGTGCCCGTTATTTTACTCAGCAGGTGGGCACCCGCCGTACTGACGGCGCCAGCCCCCTTGGCAAGAAAACGAGTATAGATGCGCTTGAGAGACCCCATATCTTTCATTGGACTCATAGCCATAGTGCCATTGATGGCCCCAGAAACCTCAACAGGCTCGCTCTTTTCCTCTGAAAAGCGTAAGACAGAGATCGAGTTTACCAAAATAAAACATACACTGCAGTTCAAAAGATAATCCTTGCATATGCTAGAGACGCTCCAATGCAAAAATGGCACACCCAGTTAACTTGTAGATGAACTGTTTCGACGTGCCTGTTGGAGTCACTGCTGTATCTATTTTCTCGAGAGAGGCAGCAAGTGCATTAAACGCAATGACGTAATGCTCTTGCTTTTCTCGGGGCTTTGAAATAATCTGTGCAGCCTTCTTAACAAGTCCGATAGCCTGGTCTATGATTGGGGTCAACAAATTCGACAGTGCCTTTTCCAATTGGCCAATGACGTCAAGAACACCGTCAATATCAATGACCTCACTGGAAACAAGCTGATCGACATACTTTTGGGAAAGCTGGTAATACTGGTGGCGCAGCCGATCCTCTGTAACAACGACGGAGCATCTTGCGCAAACCAAAAACGATTGGCCTGAGTCTAACTTTCTAGATGTCATTGCTGAAACCCCCGCTATGCTGTTCAACCGCAGTTGCTCCAGAATATCGCATATGTTATTGACTCTGGGACTTACCAAGCATTTTAATGTCACTTCCATTTATTTCTAGGAATGAAAGCACATCCAAGAGCACTTCTCCCCTCGGAGCTCTTCCTGGGTTTTGAATTTGGTGCAAGCTAGAAATTTGTGCGGCGAAAAATTCCGAGATTTTCCCAAAGACCCTTTCTTTATCTGAATTTGGCAAACAGAGTTGATGGGCACGTTTGCATGTTGAGAAGAGAGCGTCTGAAGAGAATTGGGCCACAGAGGCGACGTGTTTCTTACCGCCATCACTGTTTAATGGCAATTCACTGACTGTCACGAGTTCTTGAATGAGCAGTGGCTTCAATTTGCTTTTGATATTCGCTGGGTTAAGCTTGTTTCCTAGCTCTTGTTTCATCAAGGATCCGATGACCTCGCTCAGTCTAAAAACGATCTTGTCCGTCCAGGAAGCATTCAAACTACTTTGTGGAATAGCTGCGTCCCTGGAGTGAAGGGATTTGCGATACTTGTCCACTGCAAATACAATGACGCGACACACATATTTTCACTGTAATGGCACCGACAATGCCCTGGTGGTCTGAAACTTTGCAAGACGGCTTACACGCATCTTGCTGTGTCGCAAACTCCTCCAGTCGGCGAGCAACTGTCGTGACATAATCCTCCCACATCTTCAATGCCTTTTCTGAGAAGAGTGCAGTTCATACGGCCGGCAAACAGATGTTGGCAAATTCTTAGCAATCCACGTGCTTCAAAAATAACAGAAAGAAGGCAGCGCACCCCTGGGACTGGACGAAAGTAAGTTTGTGAGATCGCCTAAGAGCACAATGCACAGTTGACAATATCCAAGAGCGAATTAGAGTAAGTCTTTCGGAGTTTATAACAACAATTTCTGTCTCGAAAGAGCGTTCCGACCACAAAACTATTAGTTTCCAAGGGCGCGGCGTTTTTGCAGCTCACTCGTTGGCATTACACCGTCTCCGACGAAGTTGAAGAATTGCAGTGTTGTTGAGTGAGCCTCAGGAGGAATTATGCTCTCAAAAGACACTTTATCCACAGCGTCAGAAATGGAAGGCAACAACAACGGTTTGCCGGATGAAACAACGTAAGCAGTTATAGCCTTTTGTCCTTGCTCTCTCAAAGCGTCCACATTAAGAACCTTTACTGAATAGCAGAGAAAAACACGGACAAAAATACGAATAACGATTTCACTAATTGATGTAATGTCGCCATTTGCGTAACTTTCTGTATGCTGAATAGGCATGGAGACAATCATCTGTATCTGCTGAGGAGGTGCATGGCTCAGCTTACATGCTGATAAAATGTCTGGGCGTTGCGCTAAGGTATTGACTTCGCCAAAAAATTTCAATAGACCCATCTCGAAGATCCTATGAAGCGTTCTCCAGAGGCTTCTGCCTCTCCACATTGCCTCCAGCGCTGCAATGGTCGCACTTCCCCAGGCAAATAGTAGCTCCTCCTGGGCACCTGCAGCAAGACCAAACGCAGGCAGTTGAGTTCCTGACTCCTTGATTTGTTAGTAGGTTGCTCCTGGTGACAATGGAGAGGATGGCCACAGTAGGGACAGCTCACCTGGTGGACTACTGGAACTAATTTTCGTTTGAAGGTCTGTCAGAAAGTCATATGTACGCTTCTTCACATTATCCACTGCATCGTAAAACGCCTCCCTATTCAAACGGCGGTCAAATGTGGTCTGTAAGGACTCCTTTTCAGTAGCTGAAACTCGGCCATGGCTTTCGAGTATAACCAGAACCTTCTTGAACTGGGTGCGACTGACACGAGCACCTTCTGTCTTATGAAATTCTTTTAAGAAAAGTATCAGGTCCACGTACAATTCATTTTTTGGGTAGGCGCCCGCGATGTGGTCTGCAGTGAGCACATATACTGCTCAACCCCTAGGTCCATTTTATCTACTAACTGGCAAATCTCTGAATGCTTTGGTTTAACCTTCACGGGAACCTTGATTCTGCTTCTCGATGACACGTAGCCCGACGCTTTTAGACCATAAAGTAACGGACTTACCTAGAGTCGTTCCAAGAACTTCTTCGTGTTGAGAAGCTGCAAGGCACAGCGAGAGCACAAGGAATTACGCTGCATCATTGCTGCAATAGTCAGCACTTTCCGTGAGTTATTAGGCAACAAATGGCCCCCTTCCATGCTCTGAAGCATGTCTATTTACCCCAAAGTGGTAAAAGGTCCTCAGTCGTCCATTCTACTATCCCTGTGACGAAGTGTCGGAGTTGGTAGGATGTACCGCAGGTCCCCATGTATTCGTATACTTCGATGCTGGATGATTTTCGAACAAGCTCACCCCGCTGGAAACCTAGGGAATTATCAATGCAGCTCGCTCACAAATCATAGAGTCAATCAACGGCGTAACTTCCGTTCCTGCTTTTTCGGAACTTTCCCATGGCGTGCAGGCCATAAAAGCAAGCAAACCTCTTTTCATGCTGATGTTCCTATCAAGTAAGCTTTAAAAGCTGGAAGAAGCCGCTTACCACCTAGCCTGAAAAGAGGTTCACGTGAAAGAATTGTTTCATCAGAGTTCTTCCGGCGAAGCTTTGATACGCAGGTCGTTGAGGTAAGCGGCGTAATGTGCAGGAGCTCGTACTTCACTTTACTGCCAGAAACGTGGACTAGATCTCCTACGCGGACTTTTTCAGCTGATAAAACAACAAGAATAATTTGCAAGTGAACAGCGTATACGTAGTTGTATACTCAAGTATACAGTGCTGCATCTAAAACAATGAGCGACTAGTTATTTGGCCGCCGAGTCCGAGCACCTTTACATTTGGAGATGTGCCTGTTGGCCCGAGAAGGGCTAGATTTCTCACCAGAGAAAAGAGGTTCTGTGATAGCTACTGAAGTGCTGTCTTCTTCGTTCGTCGTAGTCGGCCTCACAAACTTGACACCACCTTCGATTTTCTCGAGTGTAACAAGCGTAGTGCCATGCCAAGCCTTGTCGCCGATTCTTACGAGCGTGTCTGTGCAGTTTCAATGAAATAGGCAAGTCTTCTGATTCACGGGCTCCATCATTTCAGAAGCTTTTTTGAAGCTTTAGATTTCGCAGGTCGCTTCGGTTGCTTACTGTGCGAGACTGCCTTCAAAACTTCTCGGATGATGAAATTTCGTTGACTGTGACACACAGTGCTGGTTCTGGTGCGACTGAGGACAATATCAACATGCCGTGTTGTAGCGTTAAGCCATGAGCCATATTTACTACTGGAAATCTCCCCAGAATGTAGAAAAGGGAGCAAGCTGGTCCACATTTCTCGAAGCAGTGCAAGACTTGAACGTGACCCCGGATCGCATTCTGAGCACACAGGCAGGCCTTGAGAGTACAACGAGTACAACTGTGCACACATCAGAACTCGATATACGCCTATAGTCTGTAGTCCTTTGTGACTTCAAATCATGCTTGTTAAACTCGCCTTTTGGTTCTTCAAATTTGAACAATTGGCTTGAAATCGAGTCCTCCACGTAAAGCATTTCTTCAAAATGTTTCAGTGTAACAATAGCGCGGTTGTTGTTTTTGAGTATTGCAGTTGTCTCTGAGCCCTCTGCTATGTTCCCAAATAGAACATTTCCACTCAGCATCACAAGAATGGAACACGGATTTTGGATAGATTGAACACGGAGGAAGCCTACAGGAGCTGAACACAATGCCACCAAAAAAGCACCAGCCGATTCATACTTCCACGGTAATGCAGCACTAGTGCACGCAGCAGTTCCACCGTCTGCACTTATGACAAAACATCCTACTGTTTGAATGTGATGCAACACGTACCTGCCTTCGCATCGAGTCCCTCAACAGGCGGAGGTAGGAAGGATGCAACTTCAGTGAAGTTTACATCCTTTTTAAAAGCTTCGAGTGCCTAAGCGAGGCATCACATTTATTCTACGTAAACAATTCGAATACGTGTAACTTTTAGAAAAATCCAGAACAGCCAAGCGCTGGTAGCAATTTATACCTGCTGAATAGTTGATTCGCCGCTCCCCAGTCCCAGCTTTTTAAGCCCCCAGCGAAGATTTTTGACGGCATCACATTGTAGCTCGTAACCAGCTGAAGGCTCGCCGCGTAGTGTAATGCTCTGGCGTAATAGGAACCTAGCGAGGGGCCATGCTGTCTCCTGAGAACAAAAAAGTGCGATTTTGCAGGAGACGCAAATAATTCTAATCCGACTAGGAAAGTGTCAAAGCCTGCCTTTAGCATAGTATGGTTGAGTACTGCCAACACACCTTAAAAAAATCATCGGGCGCTGCTTCCTCTAAAACAAATCTGATAACGGAGTTGGCGAAGGTGCTGCCCCTAGCGGATATTTGCAAAAGAAATAGCCCCGTGAAAAGCAAAATGGTCTTTTCATGCCTATAGAGGCCTTGCTCTTGTAAAGTGCTGTTTGGGGGATCTGGCATTGCAAGACAAAGCAGAATACACATAATTAAAAAAGTGCTAAATGCCTTGAATGCGCTCCAATTAAAGCCTAAACTTTTGATATTTGAGATTAGCAAGCCTGCTGGTAAGTTTACCATCGTAGCCAAAGGGAAGAAAACCCTGAATCAGCTGGATGTGAGCACCAGGAACTGCTTCCTTTGCATGTCGAGTTGGCTGTGGTGGCCTAAATGGACATTGCTGCTGCATCCTCATATTAAGCAGTTCTTCATTTTGCAGTTGCTTCAATGTCCCTTGCCAAACGCCGAAAGGGCGGTGCAACACAGCGAACAAGTCACTGATATCTGAGTCTAGTTCTCTAAAGTCAGTTTCTTGAAGACGATAATCTGCTTCATTGCTTGAAACGAAGAGCCTGGATATCCTACCATAGATTGTCCCAGTAAATCTTACTCTGACTTGCTGTATCACGTCTTCTACCTGAGGAAGTAAAGCCCATTGGAACCCCAAGGCAGAATCGCAACGCCTTATTTGTAGAAAGGTGTTGCTTCGAGTTCTCTTAAAGCAATTTGTTTGTCTGACGGTCGTCGTACACCTGCAGTCCCACCTCGACGTTTGCAGCATCAATGCGAGACTTCATATGCATGAACATGTTCGTGGCCGCGTCCCGCTGTCTGCACTCTTCAGATTCGGAAGGTATGTCAATTTGCAGTAGATCAGCAGCTTCGGGGAGCTCATAGGTGCACGGTACAGGCACGTCTTTCTCCTCAAGAAAGCTGAGCACGTCAGCTATTCGTTGTAGGCGTGCTTTCCTAGTGGCTACGGCCCGCCGTCTAACAGCAAGAGTAACATCACTCATTGCTACTGCTAAAATAATGATCGCAGACACTTTTGAACAAGGAATTGAACCATCCTGTTCTTCTGGAAGACGTAGACGTGCAAACAGTTTTCGAAAAGTCTGCTCGAACATGCAAATGCGGTGCGTCCAGTAGTCCACTAGCGTTGTTGTGGACAATGCCTTCGCTAGGGCGCTTTGCTCAAGTTGAGGGGTCATGGCAGGCTGCCCGGTTTCAGAAAACTGCTTCACCATGGTCTTCAGTTCATTCGCCTTAAGCCACCATGCAGCGCAATGCTTGCCGCAAATTTTGCTTTTGAAGTGCTGTTTAAGTCCAAGAATCGCTGACTCTTCCCTTTCCCTGCGAAGCAAGTATGCTGCATGAGCTGTTTTGGAAACTATTTGCTCCGTTTGTTGGAGAACTACCATGTGTGCAGGGTCCATTGTCGTAGTTCCACGGGCTTTGGGAGCACCCTGAAGAAAATTCCAAGCAGAACTGAAATTCGGATAGAATGCGCTTTTGGAAAAGACAGTTAGCGGTATCCTAAGCCTGGAGCTCCAAACAGAGTAATTGTCTTTTGACATATTTTCTCGATTAAGTAGGGCACCAACAAAAGTACAGCTTGCATGACTTACAGGAAAAAAGGTTTTTAGCTCCTTTAATGATTCAGAACATCTATTTGGGACGGCCATGGATTTTTTCCGGTTTCGCCTGAAGATTGAAAAAGCTCTGGAGAGTTGGCTTGGGGAGCTCGGCGCTAAGAACGCACGACTGAGTTTTAGGCCCGTTTCAACTGGAAGCCTCCAACAGGACTGTGCGAGCTCATTTGCTGTGCGTTGTGTCCAAAACTGCTCTTCCCGGGAGTTCACAAACTGCGTGTTTGAGATAATGCTGAGGTATTCGGCATGCAAGCCATTGAGGAATAGCCACAACCAAGGGCCTGTTAAGGCGTATGTCGCCAGTTCTGAAGGGCAACGCAACAGAGTCATTGGGAAACGAATGTTGAGCACTTGTGGTAGGAAGATCGCAAAATGCGGGTATATGGCAGGTTATGTGAGCCCAGGGGAGCACTGGCAGCGTGTTTCCTGCCGCTGCCCTACGTACCAGGCATGGCATATTCAACCATTACAGGAAAGTCACGATCATCCCTGATAATACAGGCGCGGCCTGTGTAGCAGTCTTGTACAATGCTTTGTCCCACTTCGAACTCCGCCATGAAGTTATTGTCCAACTCAAGAAGGGTATTATACGCCGAGCGTGCATCGGACAGCATCCAGTTGCCATTTCTGAGTTTGCTGGTTTGTTCTGAGAACTTTCCTACCCTTATTGACGTAGTTTCTTCCTGGCGCACTTTAAACTGGTATGATTGTTTGTCTTTGATTGTGCATACGCCTGTTGTTGCATCCTTTCCCACATATTTAAAGTGTCGGCGCTGCGTATGCTGGTGCGAAATTCGATCTCCGTCCTCAAATCCTGCAGCAGAGGTGCGTCCCTTTATTTGTAGACTAAAAGTTATTTGGCTCTGTTTGGAGTCCACCGAAGAAGTGCTTGAAACGCTAATATGGGTGCAGAGGGAAGGCCAACTTTGAACAAACACTTACTTCGAACCACATGGAGACTGGCATCAGTGGCAACCTGTAGCCGGTCGGCATTTTCAAGCAAGAACGTGCAGCGGTCTAGACGCTCAACCACTCTGTATATTCCGCCATGTGTGAGATCTTCTTCATGTGGTATGCGCACTAAGTGGCCTTTGGGTAAGCCTGTAATGAGAGTGTTGAGCAGTAAGAAACCCGTGTTTTTCCACCTGACGCTCTTTAAACGTGGCGCATCTAGGTCATCAAACGTATGTAATCTGCGACAGCTGAGAGTTTCAAAAGACAACTGTACTTTGCTCCTACTTGCTGTAAGCAGGAAGCGCTTGACTTCGTCTAGATCAGGAACCTGAGCCGTGAGGTCCAACTTCTCATAGTAGTCTACGAGGGCAGTGTATTGTGCATACGCCTTCCCGTAAAATGAACCACGTCTACATCTTTTGTTCCTTGTGCTGCCTTGAAGCCTCTCCAGTAACCAGTTCTCGAACTCTCGAGCGAGCTTACGTGAATCCGATTCGATCAAAAACTGAAGGAAGGCACCTGGGCTCTCAATGTATAAGGTTCTTTTGTCTGTAACCGAAGTGACAGCAGGCGGAAGTTTCTTAGTGTAACGTTCTTCCAGTTTGCAAAGTTCTCTGTACTGCAACCGATTTGACAAAGTCCGTAGTTTCAGAGACAAAACTAACAACGGGAAGGGCGCCTGTGAAAGTAGCTCACGTGCATAATCAAAAAACGTCTCCTGCATTCGCTTTAAAACATGGTCTGTGCTAGCAGCCAAGTTGAGTTCCGCTTCAACCGCTGACGCCATCGTTGCCATACCGCCGAAGTCGGGTGCATACTGTTTAACTACCATCTGCGCTTGATCAGCAACATCAAGATCTAGCACCTCCCACCTTATATTTTCCACAGACTCGCTGCAGTTCAGAATGACCGTCCACGAATCCTCTGAGACGACACAAACATGGCAATCTTTCAATGCTGCGATGTATCGCAGCAATTACTGTTGTAGCTCTGTTAAAGATTTTTCCAGTATCCCAGGATCTTACTGAAGGGCTTTCCATCAACGCCACCTGCGAGCATTCGAAATGTGCGGAAGAAGCTGATCAAAATTATGTCTCTGCACTATCGTAATGACTACTTCTAATAATGATTCAACTTATCGTGAAGCGGCTTCCTTTGAAAGGTCGCAATCAAAATATTTTGGCCTAAGGTGGCTGCAACTGCTCCAAGTAATCAACAGCGTGCAGCTTCCCTAGTTTCGCATGGCTGGCTCTACAAAGACGTCCAAGAAGTCACATACATATGGAAAATGTTACACGAAAGGAGAAGAAATGTCGATTCGTGCAACAGAGGAAGCTGTGCAAGTGGTTTGATACCTACTTTGTCTCAGCATGTTTTGTAGGTGCCTTCGACCAAGGTTGTGCCATTCCGAAGTATCTTGCTCTATGCGCAACTTTCTTGCCTCTGGGTACGCAGAGTGCAGCAGTTTCTTAGTGAGGTGCCATTCTCGGAGATAGTTAATGGTTCCTTGCATGCCTCCTACGGTAGTTAGTTGGAAGCTTAGGCCTTGACTAAAACGCTCGACGATCTGCTCCACAATGTCCTTTGAAAATAAAAATTGTAGTACATGAGATAGCGCTGTAAGATTCTGAGAGCTTACTTCGTCACTTGAATATGAGATTTGCACTCTATTTGCTGGTAATCCTTCCAACGGAGTCCCTTCACGATACGTAACGCTTCCCTGCTCCTGGAAGTAGTTCAAATACGACTTCGTTTGCCTCGCAGCCTCGCACTGTATTGGGTCAATGCGCTGCAACATGTGCAGTGGCCTTCCTACCACATGCACCATCCTGCCTTTGGCCTTGAAAATTATGGTCAAAAAGTTCGGGTCTTCTCCAAATGGCTTCACCGTCATAGATATCTTCGGACCATGGGATTTCTGGCAGCATCATCAATAGAAGAAAGCAGCTGTAGCATTGAGCTACCATGCAGAACTAATGTCAATTTGCGTATAAGCACTCGTGAAGCGAGCTCCTTGTTGCGCCAAATCTGCCAGGAAGTACCTTAAGCCACCGAAGCAGACGACCCCAGGCTTGCCGAGCGAGTGTAGCAAGAGTCAAAAAGGGAGACAGAAATTGCTGAAGTACCGCATGCATAGGAACATATAAATAAAGTTATTAGCATAATCTCCTGACGGATAGCACATATTTAACGTAAGCAGCTCTACAGCCTATGTATGCACTAAACAAATAGATTTTGAGACGCCGTGCGCTTTAAAATTCTTGTTATATTTGTATCAACACTGTCGGAACCAACCAGCACATGCGTGTGACAAAACATGAAAGCTTCGCGTACCTTTGCTCTTCTTACTGCGCCTTTCCGGAGTCTTGCAAAAAGGCCTGTCTCTTCTGACGATAGAAAATGCTGTTGCCCTGCATATCCGAAGGCCGAACGCGCCGGCCGTAGGGTCTTCGGAAACATTTGTAGAGTCGCCGTAGTCTTCTTATCAGCAGGGTGACGAAGCTCTATTTCCAGTGGAACAGCCTCATCAGAGACGGACAAGACCAGCTTATTGCCTGTAGAGGCAGCCAAAATAGAGTATTGACCAAAGAACCATCTGCATCTGTCTCAGAGTAGTGAAAGTCATACATGTAGTGGTGGGATCCCCGCAAGAAGAACTGCACTCTGCCCTCTACAGCCAAAAGGCTTTACCGGATATTGATGTGAAATACACTGGTAGACGGACACAGACGCTGTTTGCTAACTGAGCGAAGCATTGATTGATCAATTCCCATGTCATGAAAGATTTTGGTAGATTCACGCGGTCCAGTATTGCCTTCAGGCGAGGGCTGCCTATGGACTGCATAACAAACGAAACAGGGTCCACAGACCAGAAAAGTCAGCAGCAAAGCCAGGCCTGCAGACTTTAAAGTTTCCCCTAAGTGACTCCCTGTACTGGTCGAACGCAGATATGCTCAAATTTCTATAAGGGTACCATGGCTGCCCAGAGAGAAGCCAACCTGCAAACGACCAACGAACTGGCTCATGCATGTGCCCGTTCCCGGTCTGATTATTGGATTTTCCAACCCTCTTTGAAGAAATGAGACATATGCTGCTTGTCGCAGGAAAAGTAAATACATCTGTTTCATACGAGAAGCGTTCCTCCAGCTCAATTCGTATGAAGAATACATTTCGTCTGAAGGCAGCGGACCACCGGGCGTGCGTTCTGAAAGTTTTCCTGTCTACGCAAGTAAATGATGAGCTACAAGGCATATGAAGGATTAGAATGATACGTCTTGCTAGTTCTGCTCTCTAGATACCTTTAGCCTCCCAGTTGCTTAGCGCGCCGATGAGTGGTCTCCAGTCAGTGGCGACCAGGGCTCTGTAATCGACGTCCCTGTTTGACCACTCTAGTAGATTCGGCAGCTTGTGAGCGTAGCTGTCCATTAGCGAAATAACCAGGTCCTATGGCGGTTCACCGCAGCCTGCCGACCCTATCGATGGTTCATCTGTCGCCGCGCTACTATGCAAGAAGTGACTGATGCACAGCGCCGGTAGCTAGACACTAAGGCAGCAGAAGACCTGGTCAAGAGAAATTGTGCAATTACAAACTAGAGTCCAGAGGCAACAGTTAATTTACCTGAGCTTTGACACTAAGGGCGCTCGCAAGCGGCCTCACGCGGTAGCTAATGAGAGGATCCCAGAGGGTGGTAATTTGATTCATTAGAATGGGAAGAGCCATAGATTGTAAGGATAGCACCAGCTTGTGGTATGTCGTACCCGACGTGCGAAGCTCTGCAGTCACAGGACGGCTGCGCTTCGCCATTGCCTGACTGTGTATGCAAGGGCAAGCTGAAGACTAGAAGGAGGCCCGTGTCGCAGCCCAGGGCGCTTACCCGTTGTAAATGCATGGACAGGGGTCTCCACATGACGCAGGAGAAACACGAACGGGTACTTCGTCTTGAACTCATCCATGCTGATGGTTTCCGTAGAAAAGTTCATTAGCTGCGGGCCGGAAGGCCCCAAAGGCACCAGTGCACGATCTATGGTGTCACCCAAACTTTGGGGATTAAGCGCACTCCTTACAGATGTCATCATCTGGAATATGACAAAAAGCACAGTCACCTATCCTCTGAGTTTTATGAATGCATGAAAATGTATTAGACAGGAAAAGCCCTCCAATTGTCTACAGCAGCCCTACCGCTTCTTTGATGGAAGCAATTATGCTTGAATGCGTGAAGCTATCAATGCGTTTCCTGTCATTCCGAATGAACGTAGACAAACTGTTCTCCACTTTATCTGGAAGGTTCGCCCCAGATATAATTCCGGCGTAGACATTATGCATCCAACGGTTCAAGAAAAGGCTTGTCAATGTCCCAACAACAATATTTGCGAGACCTGGTCATAACAGTTGCAAGTGATGAAGCGCTGCAGGACCCTCCATTAAGCGAACAACTACTTCGGCAACTCATATATCGCAGTTCCCCTTGAAAGTATTCTTTGTTTTAAAAAGGTGATAGTAAATGTAGGCTTGAGTGCGCACCTGCAATTTGGTTCACGTTGCTAAAGAGGAAGCCAAGGCCATAAGCAACGGCGCATGCTCGAAACAGGGAATACAACTTGTAATACGACGATATGACCAAAAACCGATTTTTAAGCGTAGTTTTGCTTATAAATGTCCTCACTGTTCGCAGGAGGATGCCTAGGGCACGAATTTCCTTGCTCTTTAAAGCAGTATTTCGAACCTCAAGCGGGATCTCAGCTAATTACGGAGCAAAAACAACACATATGCGGCAAATTTCTACAATAAGCACACAAACGCGCAGGCAAACGTGAGGAATTCCCGCAGTAATCACCATATTACAAGGGTCCACCTGCATAAATGCTTTAAAATAGCTGGAGGAATATAACGCACCGTTATGTAAAATGTCATCTATTTGGTTTTGGGCTTCCGGCTGAACGCTCCGGGCTGAAGATACACCGAATGCACACGCTCATATGCAAGTCTTCACTATAAGTGGGACCAGTAGAGGTATGATAACTGTGTCGCATCTATTTGGAGACAGTTGGAGCAGAGGGCAGCTTAAGGGAGCCTCACAGCTTGCCAGTTGAACTCCCGAAAACTCTTCATTGTCATGCTTCTCAAGTTCATGCTTATGCCCTGAAATTTCATAAGAGCACATATTCATTTGTTCTACTTACTAGCTTTTTAAGTACAGGTGCCTGCTGTACATTTGCCAGGAGCTGCGCTCAATGTGATTTGCCCCTGTGTTGCTTTCTAGCCTCCACTCTGCCGAATCGTGCGCGAAAGCAGCGAGAGCTAGAAACCGCATAATGCATCAGAAACAGGTGATTCCACGCTGATTGCATTGACGCGCTTCTGTTGTTGAAACTCTGGTGTGGACTCACCGCTAGTGATTGGTTCCTCTGCAGGGGTATAGTAGAGTGCGAACGATCCAACGGTACTCAGAGACGTATCGCCATACCCCTGTAATTTAGTGTATCTTTGTAATCCATTGCTGTCCTTGCCAAGATGCTGGGAATGAAGTTGTGTGTTTTGCGTAGACATCCCCTCCGTTGGCATGACCCACAGAGCCAGCACAACCAGTTGGCCGAACCGACCCTGGCTCTCTGACAACGGCCACATGCTTCACTATCCGATTAAGAAACAAATATACGAGCAGGCGTTTGCCGCTGAATTTCTAGACATGGGACCGCAGTGGCCGTTGGAGAAAGTACAGGGCCTTGTTGCTACCCTACTACGGGCTCAAAAAACAAATTTCAAGCTCCAAAGTCGTTCATTTCGAATCCTAAAGAGGTCATTTTAAAACCATTTAGCATTTATGCGATGTAAATTATGTGTTGGGGGATCCGCTGCCCCAAGCCAAACAGAAAACCGCTGCCGACACTCACGTGCTGAAATGAGCGCCCCTGGATGGTACGGCTGGTCAGGCACACTTCTGCAGAGGGTCTAGTGCAGGATGTCCGGTTCAAAATACCTGAGGCTAAGAAATGTATACTTCATATAATTCATTATGTCTTATTTCGACTGATTCTATGGGGTCGGCAGGCCCCAGACGCGTGTTGTTCAATTTGACACTGAAGGCTGCCCGTGAGCAGTAATGGGTGGTTTTGTGTAGGCGTATGAGCCACTCAAACCTTTGAGAAAGCGGTAAATGTTTTTTTATAGCTTAATACGCACAAATATAATGTAAAATGTGCCAACATAATCTTGAGCTACGAGACTTCGACAGTGCTTGAATATTATGGACGCGTGCAGCAGTGTTTCCTTCCCCACGAAAAATGCAGTAACAAGACGGAACACTCAAAGCTACAAGTTTCTAGTGGAAGCCCACTAACATTACACTCTAGAGGAATGTGAGGCATTTTGCATCTCAGCAACCGCAGCAGAGTGGGGTCGAGGTGCGATTTGGGCAACCACTCACTCAGCAAACGCCCCGAAGTAAAATTATTGAACTTCTTCGTCGGAGCAACAAAAAAGTGGCAAGGTTCGATTCCTTCTCTGTTCCAGTATAGGACGAGCAGTTACGTGAAGTTCAACTACTGCAAAATGTGCACCGTACAGGTAAAGATGAGCCAGCTGGCTCTCCAGGTAGAAGCAAGGACGGAGACTGAAGAAGTCCCATTTTCGCTTCTTATTCCTGCGCAGTAGAGCTCGCCGCTCTTAGTAAGGTGCTCCTAGCGGCGTGGACACAAAAATGGTTCTTCCATTTGCCATGAAGTATTCAGACTGCCCATCCGTATAAGTCGAAGATTAGCAAATGTACAGGAAACGCCTCAAACAGTAGCATTTGGGACGCAAAATCCAGAATAGCATCATCTGAGGTGAAATTCCCTTCATCCATTAATAAAAGGGGCCTTCCCTGATGTTTTTAGCATTTTGAGACCTTACCTTCTGATCAAAAGCTATCGGTGCAGCACCCAAATTTCCCTCTCAAAGCTTCACTGCATACAGCGATTTCTGAAAAAATAGAGGACGGCTGCTTATTCTACAGTCTTCATTGTCTTCACACGAATCAGTCCATGAAAGGGGAGCGGCGAATATTTACACAGACAGGCAGGTAAACGACTTTAACCACTGAAAAGCCGCGCATCAAATAAGCATTCAAAGGAATTCGTCAACAAACATCTGGAAAGCTTAAGGCTTTCAACTTGATAGTTGGAATTCTCATGCCTGCTTGCGTGGAGGCTCCATAGTTCTCGTCGCGAAACTAGCTGATGCCTCAGTACCGCCGAAACTCAATGATCGAATAGCGTCCCTTTCACTATATAAGCTTTAAAAACTGTAAAGGAGCATGTCTCAAGAACTGTACGACGTACCAAGGTTTCTTCAAGTAATTTACATTGCTGCACAGCAACAAAGGACACCTGAGGCACCATGGCGTATGTACACTCCTGCTGAAACCTACTATTGCATCTGTAAAATTGTTCAGTCCCAAATTTGCTCTTTGCCCTGAACGACAACAACAATGCATGCACGTACATTATTCGCCATTGTTTTCGCATTTTTATCCCATCGGAAGCCATGCGTCCTCTATGCACAGGGGGTGCGCGTTCAGGCTTCTGTAAAAAGTGGGACAGCAGAACGCTCGCTTATAGCCGCTTTTTCACCAAGATCGAATCTTTTTGGGCGCTCAAATCCTCAGTTTGTTGCTAACATAGTTCTCTTCGACCGAATTCAAAGAGGTGCGCCTGAATGCAGTTGTGTTGTGACGAAGCTCGGCTGTGCAGTTGACGACGAGAGCCGTAGGCCCTGTGACAGCATATCGGGACGGCTCAACGCTGATACTGTCGGGTGTTAAGGCACATCTGATTTCCATTAATGATGCAACGCGCCTTGTTCAGTTAGGACCTACCAACGTTGAGGGGTTTTTGTCATCAGATGCTCCGCTTTCATCAGCTAGTGTCAACGAGTGGTGAGTGGTGATTCATCTTCCGCCCCTTCCACAGTCATTTTTGAAGTATTGACCAAACTCGCTTTAAGGCATTTGTCTCGGCTGAGCACGTTTCAGGACGGCAGACCATTGGACGGCATCTGGTCTTACACAGTAAAGCGAAGTCCCACGCTATTCTCATTCACCATGAGAGGCATTTCTCGTTACCGTAGTCTACCAGCTTTTGTGAAGGGTCGTCGGACACCTTTCTTGGAGGCCACTGGTGCGAGTGATTGTGTCAATAGTTTCTTAACTGCATGGAACAAAAAACCAAAGCAAACTGGCAGGGAAGACTGTCCATGCTGCCTATTTGGATTTACCAACACACAACAAACTGAAGGTCAAGGCCCGGGTCCACTTTTTCGACAAATGGGAAGGTAGGGATGCATATTGTTTCGTCTGCAGCTTCCACTCTAGTTCACAAATAAGCGTAGGCGAAAGCATCTATGTGAAAATTAACGGCAAGATAGTGTGGACAAGTAAGAGACGAGTTGACGCCTACACAACGCGCAGCATTGCCTAAGGTACAACCTCCTTAAGGGTCATGGAATTGGTGCCCTCAAGTGAGTAAAATGCAAAGCCTGCGACGCATGCGTCTACTTACAATGCATGAAAATGGTATTTCAATTTCCTTCAGAGGGCCAGCCAAGTGAGTGCGAATGCCTCACTCTAAGGACCCCCTGAGGTGCACACCAGCCACTAATTACCAAATGTTAAGATATGCGCGAGGCGTGGAGTGGACAGCTGCGGCCACTCGTATCCTGACAGACTCTCAGTCAGTCATAATTCAATACACTGATGAGGCAGCAAAATGCACAGCCTTTTAACTTCTACTACTGTAGGTACCAGTTGAAATAGAGCAGCATCACACGGGATCGGCGCTCTTGATGGCTTTTGGGAGGTCTGTTAGCTTTCGCTCCCGTCAATGTTGCCTTTTCCATTTCGGCATCACAATTGCAGCACAATGCCAAAGAATGCGGACCCGTGCTCAGCTTCTTGGGGTGTAGACGACGTAGCGATATATCTCCATTAAGCAAATACAAATGGCTCGTGTCTGTGCTGAAACACTACGTCGCTGTGATTGTTCAGTCATAGCACAGCGTTTGCGCATGCGTGCTATGCTCTCTAAGCCTTCTGTGCAGCTGCCTCCAGCTTTAGTCGCTTAGCTTCGCAAGGTCAGCATTGCTCCACTTACTAAGCATGTCAATACCGGGCTCCTGCTACGAATCTTCTTGGGTCATGACAGCTTCGGCGCTGCCCCCCCTTACAGAGTCTGTTTAAGCAGACCAAGGCCTCTGTTACACACACTTTCTAATGGGGGTATCGGCTCGCGCTTATTCAGCTTCAGTACGAGCTATGCTCTGTCTGCCATGACATAAATGTGTGAAGCACATCCACCACAGCTACCCTGACGCTTAGACGAATCACCTGAAGGGACTAACCCGGGACAAAACTAGACAGAAGAAGTAATCAAGCTTTGTAATATATGTGAAAGTAGGTAGTAAGGAAACCTCAGGCATAAATGCCACTCTTTACCAATACTTGCGTGACGAGTCCGTCAAGATGCACTAGCTCGGATGCGAACAACCACTCTCTTTCAACACGTGCGTGACGAGCCCATCAAGATGCACTAACTCGGATGCAAACAGGCGGAGTCTGCAGTTAGACTTCACTGAGAATGAGAATAGCGCTTCATACACTGCTCTTTGCTGTACTTCATCTTGATCGCACACGAGAAATATTTCGGCCACATCATACATTAAAAGGCCTATGTGGCGCAAGTACCTCTAGGCACCTCAGGTGGCAATTGCTAGGTGAATACACCTCAACAGGACTCCAGACTCCGCGGAAGCTTCAGTACGAGAACACCTCTTTGCAGTTCGAGTACCTAGTAGCCATGTGCTTCAAAGGTGCAGATCGAAACACATCCAAAATGGGATGTTACAAGGCACTAAGTGATGCTGTGGAATAAGGACAATGCGTGGCCGCGGCCATTTTGCTCTTAGGCCACCTTTCGACCAGCGAAGCACTCAAAAGGCAATTACAAGGGAGCGAATTTTGTCTAAGCTGAATCCCGAGATAGCGTACAAGGTCACCTGAACTTTGCCGGTGCAGTTGAGGCGCTCGGAACAGTCTGTGGAAGTGATTGTTCTTATTCATGGAGGGAAGAGCAGTAAAGCTGGCAGTTGCATGATATGGACTGTGACAAATAAGCTGAACGCAACAGATATATCTTGGTTTTTGTTTGCGCCTTCATATTGGCACGGAATAGAAAAGCACAAAGTGGCAATTCGCAAGGTGACACTCTTTCTGTGGTTCCTTTTGTTGCCGCTCTTTCCTTGGGTTGCAGAGATGGTAGTTGCTCTTGAGACAACGCGTACACATCACTGCATTCATTTGAGCCTGAACACGGCTTGGTCATCAACTGATTGGCTCTGCCAAAAAACGCGGGTTATTACTAGTGTTAAGACTGGAAAAAGGAACCAGAAAAGCACTACAGTGGTACAGTGGGATTTCGTAACTCAGAAAATGCGCGGCAGCGATGCCAACACCGCCTCTAACCTGTGCAGAAAGCGTCTGTGCACGAGCAAATAAAGTCACAGTAAAGGATTTGAAAGTAAATGATAACACGAACAGATGCCAAGCGATGCGCGCTAAGCGTAATCTATTGTTCACGGACACGCAAAAAACGCAGTGTTCCGTTTCTCACATTAGGTCCCATGTCTTTTTCCTGTGTCTAATTAGTTTTGAAGGCATACTTTAGCAGAGTCTCGTGCCTTTTCTCCATGGGTTTGGAAAAAGCACTCTTCGTGGACACTGCTCGAGCCTAGTGCTGCCTGATTGTAGAAGTGAGTTTGCCTTTTTCTCCAGGTTCTCTGCTTCGCCAGAATTGCCATTGGCCCCTCTAGAATTACGACCTCAGTTGCGTTCATTATTGAATCGCACATTCAGGGGTATGACACCAGAGCAGCACGCTGCCATAGTTTCAGTCGAGATAGAGGTTTCCACTTATATCGACTATACGTTTTTCGGGAAGTGACGAAAGAAGAAGAAGGTTGAAGTGATGCCCTCATTTTGGTTGTTCTCTTTACCAGCGGTATTCGTCCCCAAATTGAATAGGTAATCCACTGAAAATTATTGGAAGATGAGGCAATTAAACTTACGCACTTTCGCTTTCCAGGCATTAACGTTTGAGCGAAATGATCTGGGGACTGGGGCTTTCAACAACAGCAAGCATGCCGCTTGATCGTGCAGTAAGCTCATCGACAGGACTCAGTGTCCATAAGGTGAATTCCGGAACCATCAGATCAGTATATTTTGCTTTTTTCCAAGCATCATCAAGATTATGTGGTTGCAAAATATACACCTAAGTAATGTCGACGGACCAGAGTAAGAATCACGTGGAGCAGCTCAACGTTCAGTTCGAGTGCACGATCATTTGCCATTGCGATTCGAGTGAGGGACCAAACGTCTTCGTTGACCATTTTCTCCCATTTTTGTCAAGCTGACCGTAGAGCATAACTTAACAGTTTTCTTCAGGAGCTTATCGTACAGCCAAGCAACTGCTTCTGGGATCGCATTTCATAGTAACTACTCAACACTTGACGCGGTGCTTCGCGCGGTGAGATCCAATTCAAAAATCCGCAAATCGATGGATATGTGCTTCAAAGAAGCCTTTCTAGTAAAGTGTGAGTTTGTAATCAGCGTGCTGTCCCCACTCGACACAAGACGCAGGTGAAACCAGTGGCATGGGCAGGTTTGACTGAAGGCCTTCTCCTGAGGCGCCGCAGCAAAAAAAGGCTGTCCGCCTTGATAGGCCCCCAGAAATATCGAGAACCAGCACCAAATAATTTTGTATTGCTCCTGCTCCTTGATGACATAAGGGGTCGGAGTTACCTAGAGGAAGCTGTGTGCACCTGGGGGAAACTGAGCCGGATAAAATCTCGGGCATTAAGTAGGATTGCAGCCTGCAAATTCGAAGCCCTTGTATGCCACGCTGCTTACGAGAAGGGCAGAAAAACTTTATGAAAGCAGAACTGCTGCCAAATCTTGAGTTGCACGCCTTTAGTTTTGTCGAGCCTTTCGATCCTTCTTTCGCTCCTTTTTCTTCTATGGAGATGCTGACCGGCAGCTACTCACATTCAGACGCTGCAGTCCCCTCTTCTGCGCCCTTCCCGCTCTTCCGAAACGAAGGAGGAGGTGGGACCACTGATGTTGAGCCCCCAACAGGCCGGTCGGTGTTTCTTGAATCGCCGCTATTTCGGCATGCGCCTTCGGAGTTGAAGACGCTGCATAGTGGTGCATACACTGTCACGTCGATGAAGGCGTTAATTTTGCTTGAAGTTTTGCTCCTTACGTTCGTCGTTTTTCAGTGCTTCCGCTGGTTAGCAGAAGGAGCAGGACGCGTAATAAGGCGCGTAGCTGATGAAGGAGAATTTTTGCCGCCATGCGGTTCCCATCACAGCTCAAACACGGACATGTTGGAAGCGTACAGTGACAGTAGTGCCATGGATGCAGCTGGGAGAAGTCAAGTTGAGGAGGCCCCTTCCGCGCTCTCCAACCCTGCGGAAACATTGCAAGCTCCTGGATGGCCGAGTGGCGGGGTTTACATGCGTCCGCGTGAGGGTGACGAAGTGGATGCTTCCCAGCAGGAAGGGGCTGCTGCTGGTGTGTTGGAAGCCGGCACCTCCGCTGCGGTCCCGGGTCACAGACTGCGCTCGGGCTTGACACCTTGGTATAGACGGTCCCAATTCCACAACCTCTACAGACTTCAGCCATCTCTGTTCAACCTTTCTGAAGAGGACCAGGCTCTCACGGAAGCCTTGAAGACTTTAGTGGACCTGGCACGTATGATGGAAGCTGTTTTGGAAGTCTTAGAGAGTGAAGACGCTATTCGTCTTTGCGCAGCAGTGCTAGAGCTTGCGGCTGTTGAATTGTCATGCATGACTGTGCTTATTCACACAAGTCAAGCACACATGATTAACGCAGCCATTCAGGCATTCTTACAAAGCAGTGACCTTGAGGAATGGTTGGAAGGTGAATGCATTCGTGGATGTCTCACAGCGACTACACGTCATCATTTTTCATTGGCGCGAGCGCTACTCTCAGCACAGCTCCTGCCGCCCCCACGTCTTGGTTCCACTGAGGAGGAGGCAGCATTGCAATTGGCGAGTCTCATCCGTGGAACGAAAGCCGCAGGAACTCTTGCCTATCTCTTGGCTCACTCGTTGGTTCAAAGCACTGGAGGCGGACGCCATAGACCGGCTCGTTCTCTTGTGGATACCTGTGTAGCTACTCTAGAAAAACTGGTGGAGTGCCGGGTGCAGCACGTAATGACATGTCCCGTGACTTCACACCGACTGGTTAGGTACCACGAGTTAATATTGAACAATTCTGATCCGTTCACAACCGAATACCCTGTTGGCCAACCGCTGGTGTTGCTGGATTCTGCAGACGCATGTCGAAGCGTTGACCTGCTATTTTCGAGTATGGGCAGCTTTTTCATACAAGCTCAATCCCATGCTGATTCCAGACCCCAGTAACCTTCAGAAATTGCTGCGACGTTGGGAATTATCTACCCTCGAAATGCGCAGGAAATACTCAGTGCAGCGGATTGGGGATAGACGAAAGCGCAACGTAAAAACTAAAGCGGACAGGCTGGTCACGCGTTGCCTGGGCTGGCCTCACACTGCCCAGGCTGGCCAGATTATTACTCTGCGCTGTATCCCTACAATCGACAGTTAGGGTGATGCGTCAAATGGGGATGCGCTACGTGCGCCAACGAAAGCTGCGTTAGGTAGCTGCAGTGCCTTCGTAGGGACGGAAAGCGGCATTTTTCTGACTCCAGCACCCTGCCCTCTGTAGGCTTTCTGTCAGCCGGTCCAATTTCAGGTATGCGCAAACTTGTTTCCTTCCATGTTCGGTGTTAGCGCAGCCCGCGTTTTCCCTACTTTTAAGACCCGCAACGTATCCACAGCAGTACTGTCAAATTGGCGTGTGGTTCTGTCGGGGATCGCCTGCTGCTTGTTCATTTTAATGCTGTAGTCGCTCTTCGTACGGCGAATTTTGAGAGTGCGTCAGTGCGACTCTATACACTTTTTGTGGGCGTACATTGTGACCTACTCATTCGTATCTGTGGCGATGCAAATTCGTGAAAATATCTTGAGAAACGCTGCATGAGTTGGCATGCTTATGTCTGCATGTGTACGTCTATGTGAAAACACAACGAAATACCCATTCAAATTTACGCAAAACAAAACAACTCCCGTCAGCAGTAGCATCGTCCGCCGACTCCGTTATTCACCCACAGCGCTGTCCGCCTTCGACACCAACGCTGCCACGATGTGCGCTGTGTGCTGCTTCCACGGCGCCAGCTACTCCCAACCTCCACTGCATCAGCTACTTCCAACTACTGGCTTGTATTTCTGGCTGTCGCTACGCTGACAGCGCCGAACACGATTTCAGTTATTTGTGTATGTCGCCGCACAGCAGCACCGAACGCCATTCCAATCCAAGTCAGGCGCACCAACACACCTTCCGTTATTTCATGCGCGGCAAACTCCTGAGTCACAAAAAAATGTACATTTTAAAGTTCAGGGTAAAAGCTAGGACAGCAACGTTCGACATTGCCAGGAACTCGGAGCAAGCAGCGAGTACCCGAAAATCCAAGGAGAGTACAGGCGGCAGCAGCAAGGTCCAGGGTTTCACAGGCTGACCTTCCCCTTGAATCTGTGAGAGTTGGGTATTTCTCATCAAAATACTTTTGGAAGGCTCCGTATTCCCAGGCCCGCTCGACCCGCCTCGCCATCAGTTTCATGTTCCTGCCTGTCCAATGGATATACTTCTGCAGGTGAAGACTTAAACGCTTCTTCGGGCTATCAGCCGGCTGCCGCGTTTCATAGAACATCCTAAGACGCAGGAGTAGGCGCAAGACAGAAACTAAATGAAAGGGATCATCTCTTGTGGGCCTTGCAATGTAGACCTCACAACAGGCTGCACAAAATGTAAGCACGCCCAATCCCGTGAGGCTGCACATACACCAAAGCAGCCAAGGTGAGATTTCAGTCCAAAAGGTGTGGAGGCTTGCGTGTCCACGAACTCTCCGAATTACGAGCGTATTTTAACTCCCATTTAAGCATTCTTCAAGTGCGCAGAGGTTCGCTCACACATGCTTTCCGGCCCTAGGATCATGCTTTCTTAGCGCGATTCTTGTATTTTTTTTTGTGGGAGATTTGTGGGTCATATAGAAGAAGTTGGACAGCGCGGCGCTCTTCAGCTGCACAAGCAAACGTTTACTTCGACTACGGAGGAGGCAGGGGGAGAGGAAAAACATTGTGGAGTGGGATCAAGGTGATGTTGAACAAAGAACTGTACGGTGGCGTTGGGTCCGTCAGCCAAACGCCAAAAGCGGTAGGACAGCAGACAGAGCCGAGTGGAGGCTTGCAAAAAGGCTGTGTCAGAGACAATCTGAGCAGGTCGTGTAGCCTGCACAGCCAAGACAATATTATATATGTTAACTGAACAAATCAACGGTTAAAGATGAGGGAAATGAGTAGAAATGACAGACCGCCCAGCACACCACCGTTGGCGAGGAACAAAGGCGCAAGCCCTCCCCATGTTACAACTTCGCCTGTCCTTCCGCTACTGCACATTACTAAATATTACTTAATAGCATCAATTTTGAAACAAGTACTTTTCGGATTATTGTATGAGTAGAAAAGACCGATCCAGTCCCAGCAGCGCATGCGCGGTGGCTACACTTGATTTATTCATTCCAGCTCCAGCGTCTAAAATTTGTGTATGTATTGCTTTTTAAATTAAATTGGATGGATTTTGTTCCTCAGTATCTCTTCCTAAAGAGCCTTCGCCCCTCCGGTACTGAGAAAGGGCTCCTGAGCGCGTGGCGAGCACTGAACTTCAGTGGCTCCTAGCAATCGAGATGGTTTTCTGAGTTAGCCTGCTTGGTCTGTAGCGACATTAGAAGTTGGGGCAAGTTGTACTATTCGAAGCATTTTCAAAGCCCACCTGGTGCACCCGCAGCCCCCGTTGAGCGGTATATTGGATACTGCGCACTTCTGTCGGAAGTTACATTGGGCTTTTGGGAGGCGGTGCTTCTGTATCTATGTGCCAGCTGAGGGAGCTTCAAGCGCCGGCGCTTCTTTTCAGACTTCCTTGTGAGGAGGTGCCTAATAGGTCTCAGGTCCTGGCTGAACACACATGGCGATCCCTGCAGTATGGCGACTGCGTTGATACCTGCAGAGTCGTAGTGGCCCTAAACATGAGTGCATCATGTCTATTAGAATGATGACATTAACGCACCGATGCCGGCGTTAGCGCCAGCCCCAACATTAGGGTATTTACGGACACTTCTAATTTACACATGCTATCCTAATAAATTGCCCTGATTCGCTATTAGTAGAGTTTCTGCGCTCGTTCTGCTCTTATAAGCCACCAGCTAGTTACTCTGGCTGGCGAGCTGCGAGCCCGATTGTAGTGCCTGCGCACTACAGAGAGTGTGCGGGCTCGAGGATACCTGTGGACAGTGTAGAAATGCTGGCGATGACACCAAGAATTGTGCTACTCGTCCGAAGCAACGAGAAAAGCACAAATAAAGTGCTGACCAGTAGCCTTCGGATATTCAAGAGGACTGGACAACGGTAGCATCAGCGGCGCCGCAAAATAGTCATGAGGGGCGAACATCCTAAGCTCAAGGGGCATCAGAAGCTGCCACTGTATGCGCGCTGTCGGCTGAAGGACATGTAAGTCGTTTCTAGCAGGAAACAGAAGATCCTAATACGAGATACAGGGAACGCCCACTGGGTAGAAACCAACAAATGAACCTACATTGTGTTGTCTGTAAAGGCAGTGAGATAGCGTCTAGAAAAGGGCTAGGTAGCTGCTCCAAGCACTAACAGCGTGAACAGCCAAAATTCTGATGACAAGGGTAGAATTGTGTGTAGAGGCAGCGAGATAGCTACTGCAAGTACTGAACGTAAAAAGCCGTGATTCTGATGATGAGGGCGGAACTCATGAACCCCTAGGTGCTGGAGGAGCAAACGCCACCATGAACTGGTGATCTCAACACCTGAATACGGAAGCGTTGGCTGAGTGCCAGGCGGCATTCGGCAGTCCAAATATGACAGCAAAACTTGCATTTAAGATACTAGAGCACAGACGTAAGGGCTTCTCGCCATGAGGACTTCGCGCAGTTTCATTAGTTTAACCGACGATCAGCGGCTGAGCCAATAACTGCGTCGTTCGCACAAGCCGAACCCATTCATTCACTGTATCCAATGAACAGCCACTCTATATAGACAGCGTAGTGACGGGACTCAGTATGTGGTGAGTAGGGGAACGCTAATGGCGGTGTCGTCTCTAGAACATACTTCGTATGGCTGCGTCCTAGGGCTAGATTGGCCTAATGACCACCAGGTGGTTTTGCAATCCCACTACGGTGAACTTAGAACATATGTCCGGTGGTATGATTTTCCAATGACACGAAGAAAAAAAAAGGGCGAGCGGAAAAAGCGCCCACAGAAAACCTTGATAACTCGTCCCTAGGAGGTCTACAACACGCTGGCACGACAAATGATCAGGATGACAACAGCAGACTCCTCCCTCCGCCTTTTCCGCACACGAAACAAGGAGCACCACAGGGCCAACGACTGGGTGATAATCAAGGAAATACTAGGCCAGGAACAGGATAGCACTTTTCTGGGGGGGGCATTGCCTTGTCTCATCACCGTCCTGGCTCATTGCAAGTTGACTCTACAACAATGTAACTGTATGAGGGGCCGTAAGGGCTCCTAGAGCGTATTCTGGCCGAGTACTGTAGGTATATCCATACTGTACAAATCCGCATTGCCACCAACAGTCCCACCTTCCTGCAAAGAGAAACAGGCGAGTACGAGTTGCGATTGTGAACCGCCACCCCCAACTATGCCCAGATTCAGCAGTAGCCGCAGTCAGAAGATCCCTACCGCTCGCGAGCAGGTACTTGATGTCTCAAAGGTGCAGAAGAAAGTGTTCCCAGACAGCTTACTTGTAGAGCTGCCATCAAGGCGCCCGGAAGACCACAACATTTCACTATTTCTTCTCCAGTTAAGTAACGAGGCCACCATAAACCCGATGCCACAAGATCATCTCCAACAAGCGAGCAATACCGAAATTGTGAGCTACTTGGTGGATGTGTCCTACCTCTCCTCCGATCTGCGCTCAGGCTACCATGGTTGACAAGCATGATGGTTCAGGCAATCGGGAAATACGCATCTAATTAAAGTGTCACAGCTGGACTACGACAAAGAGGGGATTCGCAACAACTACAATTTAGGTACGGGTAGGACCTAAGTTGCAGAAGCTTAGAGGGCAAATTGGGGCCTAAGCAAGAAGAAGAAAAAATGATGCGGATACATAATCATGCAAACATAATTATATACTACCAGCGTGACATGGTGGCATTACTAATGGCTTTAACTGAAAGTACACGCTTCCACAGTACGACTGAAAGTACACGAGGAGACTTGGCAGTAAAAAGGAGTGACGG